GGTGGCGTTGGAAAGATCATTCCACAAGCTTCACAACCATAACTGGAACTACTCCTAACTCATCCTGAGCTGGAAGTTACGACTGCTCAAAGTTGGCCAAAAAGCACTGATTTCCACACTTAGCCAATTTTCCAAATTTTTTTCAAATCCTTTCCAAAAATGAAAAATTTCAAATTCTAAGCCTCTTCTTAGCTATTTCAAATTGTCGGATGTTACATTTTACTTCAATTTATTTTTAAAAAATTTGACATAATCAGTTTTGGTTTCAAAGTAAAAATAAATTGAAAAATCACCAAACAGATTATAAAATTATCTCCCTCTTTAAATATATATATATATAGAGAGAGAGAGAGAGAGAAAGAGAATGTGTATGTTGTGTAAAATTAAATTTTTACTCTTTTTATTTGTAATCTAGTTACCTTTTTATAAATTTAATTCTATTTTTTCACTTTCTAGTTTGATTTGTAATTTTATTATGATGATTTTAAAAATTGATTTTATGTTCAAAATCACTTGTTTTTAGTCCTTTAATTATTCATTCTTAGTTAATTCAACTGTCATCAATCAGAACTAATTTTTTTTTAAAAAATTATACCCAAAAAAAGTTCACCAGTGAGTAAATGAGAGCATACCGATAAGTATTCTAAAATCACTCTTTTTCAAAAAATTTTAGAAATATTTTGTACTTGGTGTTGCACTTATGATTGAAATTTAAGTTAAAAGTCTAAAAAAAATCAACCAAAAAAATATATAAATCAAGAAAAGAAGAGTATAATTTTAATGAAGTTTAATTTTTTAATCATATTAGCAATCACGGAAAAAAGGCTAAAACTTGAATTGATATTAATTTACATATTTCTATTTGACTTTTGGAAAATAAAATTTAAGACTATTAAAAAAAGAGAGAGGTAAAATACTTATTATGAGGAAAAGGGAGGAATTTGAAAAAATGAAGGTGAGAGAGTGTGTGGTGTTAAAATGGGGCCACAAATCCAAGTGTCAAAAATTGAATGGAGTCTCACACAACTATTGTTGGTTGGGTCTCAACCATATTAAAATTTTTCGAAAGATATAACCATTTGTTCAGATTTAGATGAAACTGTACTCAGGTGAATGACATTGTTTAATGAAACTGGATCATCGTTTACGTACAACGAAAAATCACTAGGAAGGGGAAAAATTCTAGTAAGACGACTTTATTGATGCGTTATTGTTTAGCACAAGTAAGACGACTAACAAATGTCATGTAACAAGTATTGAGTATGATTTGCGGAAAGTATAACAAAGTCATGAAATGTGCACTATATTAACATGTTCATGAGCAGAGACGAATATAGAATGTGTTACATGTGATTAAGTGAATTCAACGTCTTTTGCTCAAATTGTCAAAAAGTTGTTTTAGATTAAAAACACGTTCATGTAATTTTTTTTTAGAGGGATGAGATTTGGTTTGATCTATTCTTTAATATATTATGTTTCCATTAATAACAATATTGGAAAATAGAAAAGTTAGAAGTTAGCTTATACTTTAATTATAATTTCTTGATATTGAGTTTGGTTTTGTTGTCCAACATATATATTTTTTTATATGCTTATTTTTATTATATGTTGGTACAAAGAATTGATCTTTTTTTTTGTTATTAACTTATATGTGAGATTTCTTAAATAATTTGTGTAAAATATTTTTTACTGTAAGAAAAAATGGTTGTTTTTTTATTTAGTATATGAAAAATTTATTGTAAGACCAATACCAAGGAAATATGAAATAAGAATGGTAAATAATTCTATTTTCGATAAATAAAAAACAGAATCCTAAACTAAGTTGGTAAAATAAATGTAGAGTCCTAATAGTCTTATACTATTACATTTAATAATTATATTTTATAAAATACAAATAATTGAGAACTCTTGTGAGTAGGTGTGCATTCAATAATGCGGAATTTGCCTATTGATATTGTCAATTCCATTCTCTTATATCTTCCTGTCAAATCTCTTTTACGGTTCAAAATTACCTGTGTTGTTTCATCGATGATCGTTACTTCATCAATTCCCATCTACATAGATCATCTACTGATATCGACCGTCAAAAAAATTTATTTTTTGACATTGTTGAAGGAAAAAAATCAATTAAAGTCGTATCAATTGAAGGATCAATTAGTAGTGATTCCAAAGTTGTATTGTTGGACGAGCTCAATCTCCCAGGATTCGATAGTATATATTTTTTTCAAGTGCTTTCATGCGGTGGCTTGGTCTTTATTACGTATCGTGAAAGCAAAAATATTATGATATTATGGAATCGAAAATATAAACTCATTCCAAAGTTGCAAAAGAAGGATTGTTTTCATGTATGGACAATTTATGGTTTTGCCTATGATGTTGTGGCTGAGGATTACAAGGTCTTATGTGTTGATAAAATTGCGAACAAGAATATTGTTGAAATATACTCAATTAAAAATCAATCATGGAAAACAATTCCCAATATTTTTTCCGTTTGTGATGATTTTGTGTTGATTAGAAACTGCAAATCAGTTTCATTAAACGGTGTCATTTACTTTAGGGCTTTCAAAAGGAAGAATCTGATCAATTATATTGTGTCTTTCCATCTAGTAGATGAAAAATTTATTGTAACGCCAATGCCATATAAATGCGGGGATCGCTTGGTTTTACATGTTTTTGGCAATCAGTTTGTGTTATGGCGATTTTTGACAAGGAAATTTCAATTTGGTCACTCGAAAAAGACTGGAAATCATGGAATAACATCACGAGGTTTTCTATTTTAGGAATGCTTGGTTACTACGGAAGTCATGTCATATGTGTTAAGGAGAACGGAAACATATTATGTAGAATAGATGGTGGTCGATTTATTGAGTACAATGTGTCGAAAAATGAGTATACTAAATTTGAAGTAAAAGAATTTCCAAGGTCAGTCAAAATAGGACCTTTGTATGTTGAGAGTTTAGTTTCTTTGAAGATTCCATGGGATTAATTAGAAATTCAATTTTCATTCATCTATTATGTAATAGTTGTTTATCATCTTTATTGATGCTAATGAATGTCATGGAAAAAGTATTGAGTATGATTTGCAGAAAGTATAACCGAGTCATGAAATTTGCACTATACTAACATGTTCGTGAGCATAATTGACGACAAACTAAATTACTATTGTATTATATTGACTTGTGAGTTCGTGGTAGAACTGATAAACTCTAAATCCTGAATCCTTATCATATTGGACGAAACTCAATGCCTTCGATTATAAGACCAACTTTAGCATGAAAAGGCCTAGAATCCAACAATCTTGCTTCAACATCACCATTATCGTCACCTGATTCACCATTGTAAAACTTTCCAATTTCTACTTCAAGCCATCCATCAGTTCTTTTTTCTGGTAACTTTCCTTTCAAATTCCTCGGCGCTCTTGCTGCCAGTATAACAATAGTAGCTCGTTCTTCAGCCTCGTCTTCGTTCTCTTGACTAACAAATCTAACCATTGCATTTGTCAATTCAAGGCCATGGTACCTCGAGTTCCAATCTTGCCTCGGATATCTAGTAAATCGACGTTATTGAGTAATGCTACCTCTGGAAATCTATAGTCAAATACAAAAAAAATCACCTCAAAAAAACTCCGGATTTTTGTATACTACTCCCTTCATTTCAACCTATGTGACAGTGTTTGATTGAACACATAAAAATGTAAACATGATTCATCTTAATACAAAACTCATTTTGATTCGCCCAAATTTATCGTAACAAAACAGAGTAATTAATACCTTGAATCTGCATCAAATGTGTGTTCCCAGAATAATTCAGTGTCTGAAAAAGAAATTGTCAATTGTCTTGAAGACAATAGATAACATTTCTTCCCATTTGTTTTGTCAAGCCAAAAACTCTGCTAATTAAAAAAATAAGTAGAAGTCAAATGGATATTTTCTGTCGTGTCTAGGTAAACACCGTCAAATAAATTGAGAAAGAGGGAGTAAGCATCTTATGATATACTTCAACTTTGCGATTTAGAGTTGATATACCTCTTGTTACAATAGTGGCTCACATGTGCCCCTACTGTTATAACGAGAGGAATATTAGTTCTAAATCACAAAATTGAGGGTATATCAGGACTTTTTCTGTTATTTCTGAACAAAGAAGTATGATATTCTCATTGTAAGAAGTAAAAATTCAACTAGAAAATTACCATTTTACCCTCATCGAGAAGGATAGGAGACTCAGAGAGTCTAAAGTAAAGGTCCTCTTTGTTGTCAAAAAGTATTGGAGAAACTGATCTGGAAACTATATTTTGATGATCGGACGGTAGAAATTTATCCCATACGATATCAGATTCCGCTGCAGCTTTGAATCCTCTCGATATAACCGATGATCTAATGGTGTCTACCGGAGTTGTGAATGAAATTATCTCCGATATGCAGCCCTCCGGCAACATTGTAAAAGGATTCATTGCCTATATTGCGTTGTTAAAGAAGATGAAGATGAAGATGAAGACGAAGAAGAAGAAATAATAATGTGAGGCTGATAAGTGATGAATTCTGGTCAGGATAAGTCAGTTGACAAGTGACCACTTTAACATGGTCCACTTTTAGTCAATAACATTATTTAGACTATTTTTTTCCCTCTTCTCGTCAGGTATTTGATATCAGTATTGAGGCTCGACTAGTTCAAATTCACATTACGTAAGGCCTATTAAAGAAGAAAGTTGTACTCTCCTTTGGAATTTTTAGCCAATCTCACAAAGTGATAATCATGAGCCTTTTTTTCCCCGAGTTTAAATTATATACACTATTAATTGGCGTTTGTCCATAGGTTAATCCAAATATTCTTCATTTTGTTTGAATTCGTGGATATAGAGTTGTATTTGGTTATAGTTCTTGCAAAGTATATTTAGAATAATATTCATATTTGAATGTACTTTTCCTTAAAAAAAACATGAAAAAAAAACAAAATATGCTCTAATAGACTTATAATATCACATAATGGGTAGTCGCATATTGTCATAGATTAGATTACATATACGAGCTACTACATAGTCTTACGCTTGTCAATTTTTAATACAAAGATACATTACTACAAAAAAATCAACAACGTCTAATACTGGTTGTTCTTTACGAGAAGATGAAGCAGCATTGTTAACTCCGTTGTTGGTTGGTAGCTAATATAACCAACCATCAAAAAGTGAATTGAAAAACAGGTTATAAGTTGTTTACTAAAATTTGAAGTACAACTTCAAGTTAAATTCGAAATTTTCAAATAAAGTGCTCCCAACATAGACAATACTTTGAAGCAACCATTAAATAAAATTGTATATATATTTCCACAAAAAAATTATGATTACACATCTTATACAACAAAACTGGGAATTCAGAAAGATAACATATTCAGTAATCTAAAAGTTCATAACCTTATTCAAGTATATTAACACAAACTATATAAACACACTTTTCTATCTTTTCTGGAAATTGAATGCTTTGATACCTAAAGCAAATGTGAAGGCGAAAACAACAGCAAATGCAACGATCACACCAGCAACAACTCCGAGAAAATCATGTTTAATTCCGTAGTCATTTCTCAAGTATTCTTCCACAGTTTGACCATTAACAATATCTTGGAGGTCTCCAAATTGCGATGCAACCAAACCATACAACGTCCATGCAACAGGGCACCCCCAGTAGTACCATCTCCACCATATCGGAATACGCTGTTTTTAGTCCAAAAGAAGGGGGCAAATGATCAATTTTATTTATTGTATGTTTTTTGTACTTGAAGAAAAAAGTTGAAATATGTTTAAGAACTTACAGGTCGTGGAACGATGAATCCTGAGAAGAGATTCCATACTGTATAGAAGAATCCAGCGACAATTGAAGCAACGTTTTGATTCGGGGTAATAGCCACGGTCATCATGCCAAAGAAGGTGAAGTATAGGAAAGTGAAGAACATGAAGAAGAAGTACCAAAAGAATTTTGCTACGGTCCATTCGAATCCAATCATAGAATAGACAATGAGACCATAGACAACAGATTGTACAAATACATATGGAATTTCAATAAAAACCTGCACGAAAAACATTTAAGTTTTCGTAAATAATGTGAATGATTTGAACTTTTAAGACGAAAAATTGCCACTGTGTCTAGCTACTTACTTGTGCAAAGGCATATGGTATGGCAGAGTACATCCCGGCAGCTTTTTCTCTGTAGAATACAGTACGTTCAACCGATACAACAGGCTGAACTGATGATGCATTTTGTACACCGAGGAAGAGAACAGCAGCGTACATAGATCCCATCGCGTTGGTTAGATCTTGAGGCCTACTCCTGTAATTGAAACAACAAAATAAAATGAGACATTTTAGCATTTATAAGAATTATAAGTTGGCAGTTTGGCTTCTTATTTCATTTTTCGTGTTATAGTACTTACACTTTGGTACCGAGATCCCAGAACATTGACCCGAATATGAGTGCTATGAAGGTAGTGAAGAGAAATCTGACTGCAGTGTATGCCGGATTACGCCAATATGACCAGCGTTGCTTCCACAAACAAGCCATACATTGGACCCAAAATGGCTGTGAGAATTGGTTTTCAAAATGCAGGTCACTTGTACCAGGTCGTGGCACACTTAGTTCCGTAATCAAGGCTTTGTTCCTCCTGCAGAGGTCTGAGTTCTTGTATAAGTCGGTGAAATCGACCCCTAATGACATTTCTTGAGATGAGGATGTGACTTCTAACATCCAAGTTGCTGGATTGTAACCTTCCTCTATTTTTCCAACACCGGGCATGGACTGAATTCACGGTGAAAATAAGCTCGATCAGTACTTGATTATATAAAATGATCAGTAAAAGGAGCATACTTTTCCAATTTCCAAAGAAAACTAACTTACCTCGAAATATTTTATCAAATGGCATGATTCGCGACCTAATGGACCAACGTATATCTCTTGTCCTCCTCGTTTCATAAGAAACAACTGTAATGACATGTTCGTATTAGTATCTTGATATCTAGAGGGAAGGCATAAGGCGAATTAGCAATAGATGCAAAAGGTGTTTCGTCTTACCTCATCAAAAGCCTCGAAAATGTCAATGCTAGGCTGATGAATGGTACAAACAACGGTTCTTCCTGTATCGACAGTGTTCCTAACAGCTCTCATCACAATTGCAGCAGCTCTTGCATCCAACCCTGAAGTTGGTTCATCCATAAAAATAATCGAGGGGTTTGCTACTAGTTCAACTGCAATCGTCAACCTTTTACGTTGCTCAGTTGACAGACCATTGACTCCTGGCAACCCGACTAATGCTGATCTTAGTGGTGTAAGCTCAACAAGATCCATAACTTCCTCAACAAACATCTGAAATGGGATAACGGGTATAAGATGACCAGTAAGATAAATTCTCATTATGGAAGGAAAGGGAATGATGTAAGGTGAACTTACCATTCTTTTGTGTTCATCGACGTCTTGAGGTAAACGCAGCCAAGCTGAGTAAACCAAGGACTCGTAAACTGTAACATAAGGTGAATGGATGTCATTCTGTTCACAGTATCCAGAAATACGTGCAAACGTTTCTTGCTTCTTGGGATATCCAGAAATCTTGATGCTCCCGTCAATGTAACCTCCGGTTTTCCTTCCAGCCAATACATCCATCAACGTTGTTTTACCGGCCCCACTAACTCCCATCAAAGCTGTGAGAACACCTGGTCTGAAAGCTCCACTCACACCCTTCAAAAGTACTAATCTATTGTCACTGCTACCTTGCTCTCTCATTTCCTGCAAATTGTCAAAAAATCGAGTCACATTTCGATTAAAGGAAAGTTGCAGCACCGGTTTTTAATGACTATAAATTCTTGGTTGCTCACCGGAGGCATGTCAACGGAGTATACAACTTCATCAAAGGTGATGGACTGGGGTTCAAATGGAAGAACCATGCCCTTCTTCTTATTCTGATTCTCACCGACAGAATCTCCTTCCGCTGTGCTAGTTATCTGGGGCGATGATCCACTACTTTCGTTGTTCTCACCCTCTTCTGAAATCGTAGCTTGTGGCTTTCCAAATGCTGCAGATACTCATTCCATGTTAGTACATGTCATCTTTTTATTTATGGATATATCAATGAAGAAACTCAAGATACTCACGGTTAAGATAAGCGAGAGCAAGACTGTAGGCGATGTTAAACAGAATTGTGAATCCAGCAAGTGCCCCTATACCTATCCAGTACCAATATGCATCGGGAAAGAACCCTCGTGATCTCACCACCGAAGGTCCAAGTGGCTCAGTTCCATTTGGGGCAGTCTGTTTCAGTGAGAGTTCATTTCAGCATTCATAGGTGAAAAAAAAATTACAGGCCGCGTTATGTACACAAACTTACATGTTTCCACTTTTCCCCATCAAACTCATTCACAAGAATTGCATTCACCGAGAACATGAGTGGTGACGTCCAGTATCCCCAAATCCACCAGTCCTTCACGTCAGCTACACCGTTCGGAGAAAAGAGAAAAGTAAGCATTTGAACAACACAAGAGCTACTATAAACACTTAAGGCACAAAACTTACTTCGTGCAAGGGCGAAACCACCCAATGCAAATTGTAAAAGCAGAGCACATGCTCCAAATGTGCTAGCAACTCCCATGGTCCTTCCAACTGCTGCGATAAATCGGAACAAGCCAGATGCCATCTGGTTTACTAGTACGAGTAGCAAAAATTGTTTGAAAAATCTGCACAAACAACAGCAGATCAATAACCACAGGAGAAATGATATTTGTGATGATATGACAACGATTACACCATACAGTCTTTCGTCCCATACCTTCCAACATTAGGATCAAATCCGATGACATAATAGGTGAGGACCGTCCACATCCCAACTTCAAGAAGAGTTACTGGGATTTTTAGGATCCATGAAGGAATTGCATATGCCCATGAAGGATAAAAGAGAAAGTCCCTTTGCTTATAGAAAACCGGAAGCTTGTAGAGCGTCAAAGGGAGCTCAGACAAACCATTAAACATAAGCATAACAACCGTAAAAAAGAGAGCACCAGTGTATATTCCTCCATCTGTCTCAGTATCCCGAGGCATTTCAGTTCGAAAAAATATGGTCATTGTCATAAGTGCAATGACCATGAGCTGAAAAAAAACAAAGAGAGGATTAGTAAATTTCACATGGATATGACAAGACTATGACATATATCGATATAACGAATAGACCAAGTAGTTCACCTGAAAGAATTTGAAGATGTAAACAAACGAGTTCCGCTGCATTAGCAAGAATTCTCTTTCAGTGCAAACCTTCAAAAGCTGTTTCTTTCCGATACCGTACTTTTCAGTAGTCAAAGCGGCAGGGTGGCTTTTGCTCTTGTCAAATGCAGTTGAAAGCTCATTGCTTACTTTTCTCCCAACATGGAAAGACTGATAAGCCTCAGCAAATTCTTTCGATGTGATAAATCTGTAAGGCTCATCCCTCCTTACCCAATATTGCTGTTGATCCTTCTTAGATGTCACCTGCAAGAAATTCGAAACATTCCACGTTAGAACTTAGAACCGAACACTGCATCAATGCTTCGAAAACTTTATCATCCTTGTTTCTTATAAAACATACTTCTTGCAAGAAATCAGCCACGCCTTTTCTGTCAGGGCATTTGAATCCCATGGATTCAAAGAACTCGAGCACGTCCTCTCGTGGACCCTGATAAACAATGTAGCCATCTGATAACAGAATGATATCATCAAACAAGTTGTAAGTCTCGGGAGCAGGCTGCAAGAGAGAAATCAGAGCTGTTCCTTTCAAGATTTGAACAGATTGCTTTAGGGAATTCACAATGGAGTAAGTTGTGGAACTGTCAAGTCCAGTTGAAATTTCATCCATGAAAAGGGCTTTAGACGGTCCGACAATCATTTCACCAGTAGTGACACGCTTCTTCTGTCCTCCCGAAATACCCCTTATCATTTGATCTCCCACCATAGTATCCGCGCAAATATCAAGTCCCAGAATCTGAAAAATGGAATTTACAGACAAATGAATAACTTATCTATCGACCTTTGAATAGCTCGAACATATGAAAAATGATTGGGAAATAAAAGTTACCTTAAGAACATAATCTGTAATCACTTTGGATTCTTGTCCTTCTGTTGATACAGCCTACATTTCCATTCAACAATATAATATTAATTATTCGATTATAGCTCAAACATACATCAGTTAAAAGAAATCGAAATTGTTTCCAGTCTTACCTTCATGAACATGTCAATATCAACATCCGGTTTGATATTAGCTGCTTTCTCTCTTCTCGATAGTTCAGCCAACATTTCTAAAACATAATTCAAGAAAATTAGTCAATAATTGATCAATAACGCGAACAAAAACTAATTAAACAAAACTAGAAAAATGGAACTAACCATAACGCGAACCAACTCCTTGACATCTTGCGGAGAACTCCAAAGTTTCTCTGACAGTCATTTCTCCAATATGCAAATCATGCTGGCTAATATAGGCCGCTGTTCTTTCTGGCACAAATTCATGTAATTCATGTCCGTTATACGTCACCTTTCCAGTAACCTGATTTCATCATAACATTATAAACTTTAGTCTTACATATATTCAAATCTAAAATTATAAGTTGTTTCAAAATTCTTACCCTTAGATCAGAATCAAGTTTTCCAGCCAAAGCAAGTAACAAAGTTGTTTTTCCAGAACCAGGAGGTCCTAAAAGCAGAGTCATTCGACAGGGCTTGACGTAGCCACTAACATCCTTGAGAATTGTAACTGAACGTTTTTTCGATGGAAAGATGTGAATTGAATCCAATAAACTCTTTATAAGCCAACAAAGAACAAAAAAAAGATGTTAGCTTTTCAGAACACCTTTTAAATCACACTATAATCACTGTTATCATTTCCCTTTTCAACTAATGGAAACGATTAGCACCACAAATCGCCTGATTTTAACGAAAAAAGGATACAAATGACCTTTTCACATTGTTCTTGAGGTATATTTGAACTTATATTTCACCTTCAACTATAATTCTACCATACTAAGAAATCATCAGGTGAAAGTAGACAACTTTTAAGATTGTAAGAGTTGCCAGCAATTCAGGTTGATTTCTCAGATGGTCACTCAACTAACAGTTATTAACTCAGAAAGTCACCTAAGTGATTTTACGAAATAATAACTATAAGTTGAGTGAGTATCTGAGAAATCAACTCCATCAATTCAAGAATCATACGATTCTTGAATCAAACTACCATTTTTTTCATTTGAGCAAACACTAAAACATGAGTACTTCTTCTAGAGGTGATAATATAGAATTATACACAATATAAATCAAATATTTTTTGGGAATTTACCTCAATGAAGTTAGAAATGAAGTTTGTAAAAGTAGGCAAAGCTCTGCTTCCAACATATGCATCTGCCTCAATATTCAAATGCTCAAATCTCACTTCTATTGATGGAAAATCAATCCCAACCCTGTTTTTTTTTTATCAGAAAAAAAATAAATTACAAAACTTAGCACCAAACTAGATAAGCAAGAAAAAACAACTCAACTATAGAATATTCTATTTTATTACTCATATACATCGACAGTATAAAGAATCTTTTCCATTATCAGTGTATTTTAACATGTCAAAATAGGTAATTATGTCTTATTTTCTAGATTATCAATACTCTCTGTCTCAATTTATACAAAGCGTTTTGACTCAACATGTAGTCAAGAAAGAAAATAAAAATAAATACTTTCTTAAACTTGTAATTTAAAATAAATTATAAATATTTGTGCGATGAATATAAACTATCTCATAACTTATATCTAAATGTAGGAAAAGTATCATTATTTCTAAAACATAATAAAAAGCAAAATGCATCACATAAATTAAAACAAAAAGAATACTACTTTCATATATTTTCCCTATTTCAATTTTTAAACCATAGTTAATTAAGTGCACTTGAGTAAAAGAATCTCTTAATTAATCAATACTTTCTTAATCACAATACAAAATGAAAACTGGACAAGCAAAAGCAAGCATCAAGTAAGTATCAATAACTATCTTTTACCTAATCTGATCGTGTAAAAATTCTTTATACTGTCAGCGTATATAAAAGTTTTAAATTCAAATTGAAAAACAAATACCTGTCAATCCTATTCTTGAGTTTCAACAAGAATTTTTCATTATCTTCATCAGCAACTTTAACAAGTCTTTCAAGTAAATTCTTTCTTTGTTGAACACCAAGATCATCAACATCAACTTCAGCAGCAACACCTTGTGATCCAAATAATATACCTTTTCTTAATCTATCATAAGTTGGTAATTTTTCAAGTGCTGCCCATTTTAATGCCTCTTCATCGTCTTCGTCTCGATTTGATCTTGAAAATACTTCAACTCCATTATTTCTCCATATTGAATTACTATTTTCTCTCATACTACCTCTCATGCTTCCTCTTATACTGCGACCACGCAAATTACTTAAATCTGATGGCTCCATATTGGAACAAAATTAAAAAAGATTGAAATTACACCAATTGATATAGTTGTTGTGTATGTTATAAAAATGGAGTTTTTTTTTTTCTTTAAAAGAATGAGAATAAAAAATGAATTGAGTTTGGAGTTTTGATGTTAAATGTAAAGGTGTTATATAGAAGCAAGAAAAAAGGAAGATGAGGATTTTAATGTTGATTTTTTAATTATATTTTTTAGGTACATATATTGGTCCATTGTATTTTTTTGGATTTATTGACTAGTTGAGAATTATTTGATGAAATTATAGTTTGTATTATTTGACGTAAATAGTACTATACTTCTAGAGGAATTTTTAAGATTTACTGTTTATTTGCAGCCGTCACATGTTTATAGATTTTTGGAGGAATTTTATGTTTTCTTACTAGGACCTAGGCTATCATATGAGATTTAAAGGGTATGTTTGGTACGGAGAAAAATGTTTTTATTTTTTTATTTATATCTGGTTGATAATTTTGAGTTTTTTTTTATAGAAAAATTAGGTTCTTCAATAGGGAAAATTGTATGAAATAGCAATTTATTAATTCAAATTAAATGCTATAGCCATAGTTTATTTTAATTGTAATTCGCAGCATACATCCCCTTTTTTTGCCATCTGATTCGATATACAATTAGCCATTTTCGGTATACAATTAGTCATTTTATACATTTCGGTATAAAATGTATAAAATGCGTGTTTGTTTGTATAAAGCAAGAGAAAAGTGTATATACAAATACAAATACATATATTTTCATCATATACACTTATAATTATACAAATACAGATTTATAATACAAATTACAATGGATAAATGAATTTATACAAAACTAAACAATTTGTATAAAATTAGATGTTTGTAGCGAATTATACAAATCAAAAGCTCCATAGAAAACATAAAATTTGCTATGGAGTGCAATTATGCAAACTGTAGCTATAACATACAAATATGATTTTTATGTTTGCTATATGTGAAAGTTGTTCTTTTTTAATAAATGAGGAAAATTACTTTTTTAATTATAGGGAAAATAATTAAGTTCCATAAGTAAATTTTGTGATGATCATAAAATAGTTAGTTCTCTCTAGTTTTTATTTTCTGCATGTTGATTAATTAGTAGAAGTTTGTTACTTATTAGGATTGATAAGGTAATGTCTCTTTGCTTGTATTTATTTCCGTTGAAATCTTTATTGTTGTTATTAATAAAAAGTTGCTAAACATTGTCTAATAATATAAATTCAATTTTTTTTTTAAATGTTGATTATGTTCTCTCCAAACTCCAACACACCTTATCTTCACTTTATCACCATAGACCGCATCCCCTCCCCCTCACGACCCCACCATTTATTCAAATTATATAAAAATGTTTTAAGATAATGTTTTTTATTTATATTTAATTACATATTAAACACAAAAAAGAATCTACTTATTATTCTAAATTCTAAAATATTTTCTGCAACCCAAAATCAGAAAAGATTTTGCATTTAAGCTTGGTGGAAAAGTTAACGTGGAATAATATAATTAAAATAGAAGCTTATAATTTGAGTCAAAAGCAGCCAAAAAAGGCCACCAGCGTCTAGAAGCACACGAGAGTCAACAACATATAGTCATTTCCTTCCTCAACTAATCATGTATGGGCTTATTTGAGATATCGTTTGTTCGAATATTTTTTGAATGATGCATCAAATGTTATTATAGAAATATATAATATGATATGATATAATATAATATATTAAATATCAAAAATATATTTGAAGTATTTGATCTTTTGAATTTTCTATCTGAACTATTATATGTGAATTTATTCCTACCTAAATTATTAATAAATGTTTATCGCAACGCACTCGATTATCAATTGTTTGGTTTTTGTACAGAAAATATCACCACCAAATCAGGTAGGCAAAGTGAGCAACTAATAGTTGAGGTGTGTATCGATAAACATTTGATAATAGTTCAGGTCGAAAACGCATACACTTGATATATATATATATACACGCACGCATGTAGTAGTTCGGGTAAACTCGAAAAATCAGAATATGTTAGGTGTTTTTTATTTTTCGTCAGTATATATACATCTAGACACTTCAACTTGATCTTAACTAACAACTAAGCATTTCAATTCGGCTCAAATGTGTCTCGTGAGCATTCAATATTGACATGCATGAAAGATACATTCCAGAGGTATCTAGATATGTAAGTGCTTATTTGTCAGCTAAAGTCAACTTTGCATGTTCTTTTTAGGTGTTGTGCCTATTTTTTACCTTGTGCTTATGGAGAGCTACTTTTATTTTCTTTAAGAATTTTTCATATTCTTCATTAAATTAGGAAAATTTAACTTTTCCTTTATTTTTTTGGCAATAAATATTTGTTAGGTTTTACTTGAAAGTTTACATGTAATAAAATACTTGAAGTCATATGGAAAACTTTCTTCCTTTTTTTCTTCATTTTTTATTGTATGTGGACTATTGTGGAGACGATGAAAATTGAAAGTGTACAATAGAAAAATATAAACTTTAAATTTCTCCAAGTCATAGTCCTTTTTTTAGTCTTTTTTGATTTATGGAAAGTGATGAAAATTCAAAATTACCAAATCCAAATAGCTCTCAAACTTGACTGTTCTCAAATATCTAGAAATTCAGATTTTCCTTCTTGCTTAGATGTTGCCAAATATATTAAATGACAAATATAAATATTTATCTATACTGAGTTTTTACATTAAATTGATGCAATTTTGAGTTTACGGATTTTAGAATTTTAGAAAATTAAAGTTTTTTGGATTCTTGATATATTTAATCGGACTCGAGTATGGAGTTGTCTTCATTTGAGAGTGCTTACTCCAAATATGGGACTTTCCCGCGCAAATCCAAATTTAATCGAACTCCAATGTGAATAAACAACATGCTAGAGGGAAAAAAAACTCAGTTACAAATATACACAATATATACCAAAGAGTAAATTGAACAATTTTGAATAGTAGATATGCAAAATTAAATCTGGACCTTTTGAAAAAAAAAATTCAAAAGGTTCTCCACTTGATGCCAAACTAAAAAGGTGATTAACATAGACAAAAGTAATTAACAGACTTTGATTGACAATTAAGAGACCTTCTGGAATGGCCTACTAATCCATTTTCCATTTGGCTACAAGTTTGACTAATTTCTCTTGCAAACAGCTCACAAATCTTGATATTTCAACAAATACTATTTGGGATAATATAACCACAAAAAATCAAATCAACCTTGTAACACTCAATTCCCCATGAGTTTAAGCCTATCAAGATTATGTGTTTGTTTTTATATTTTTCCCAGTGAAGTTTGACTAAATTCAAATTCGCATATTGTAAGGTCCATTTCGGCGATCCCAATAGAATTGTTCACTCTCGAAGGCTCGAATCCGTAAGAGCTCTGATTAAAGATGGAGGAATAAAATTATAAGTGTTTGCTAATAAGTTTAGCCATCTTTGAAAAAATAGTTTAGTGATCAAAGTTACATTTGTGCAATATATTTTGTAAAGGAAAAAACATACAATGTTACATGCATCAAATCAAACAATTAAACCATAAAAGCCACAAATTAAAGTTACAATACAAATTTAATCATGGATAAATGGTACCATTACAACAAAAACAGTTTGGAGCAGTAATATAGATATGTAGAGAGTGTTAAAGTTTGTACTCGCATTCGTTAATTGTTATTGGATCTAATGTCACTATAGGTTTTAGAGACATTTACAAAGAGTGTTAATTGTTTCTAAAGAAATATATTTAATAGCGCTAAATATCAATTTTGGTATAGTATAAAAATATGTATAGATTCGATGTAGACATGTTTTACATACATTTATTAATTTGATGTAAACACCTGATACCAATAAATAAATAAAATTTATATACGTGTTCAAATCGACTTAAGTTCTTAGTATTTTAATAGCCATGAAGTGAAAATATGTCTTAAAGTTGAGTTTTCAAAGTCTTGAACAATATTCATGAATGTGTCTATTATATAAACCCTTAAATTGATGTAGTTATGTTGTTACACCCTACACATTTATTTTTCTTCTGTATGGGAAATTTCATTTTATACTATCCAAATTTAATTTAGTCTTCTTTTTCATGCCCTTAACAAGTCTCATAAACTCTATTATTAGAAACTACCATTTTTTTCATGTCTCATTATTTTAATATATGGATCAAAAAATTTATCATCTTCCTTTCTTCTTCCTAAAGGAAATTTTTTCATATATATGATATGAATGTTAGTTTGATACATGAGAAGATTTTGAAGGATTATGACAAAGTGCAAAAGGTGAACATCTTCTTTACCATCTTCAAATATATATGTTTAGGTGAAAATATGATATACGTCTTTAAATATACAATGTTTAGGTGATATTTAGATGTGGATTCAGAATATAGAGTTAGTAAGTAAAAAACGAGTATGATTTTATAATATTCTCTCATTTCTTTATCTTTTCTTTTGTTTTCGATTCTCAGATATTTATCCAACTCCTCAAACTTTGAGATTCAAGAAAGCAACCAATTCTTGATTGAACCACTTTATACGACATGTTTGAAGTGTAAGCTTCACTAAATTAACGTGCATGGCTTCTCCTATGATTGCCTTTCAATATCGCGTGGTTTTTCTTTCAATATCGTGATTGTTTTAGTGGTCTTATGATTGAGACGGCTCTGCCTTTGTTCCCTTATGATGTGTTATATGGTTGTTCACTTGTTCTATAAAAAAAAATTATTGTATCTTTTTTGGTTACTTCAATGTGTATACACTTGTTCTACTATCTAGCACGTTTGTCCCTTGTAATTACTATATGATTTCTATATAATTAAAAAAAATGAATTTCAAAATAGAAAATATGTGTGTATTTCACGCTACTTAGTATAAATATTTGTAAATGATTTAAATACAATTACAATATGTATAAAATAGTTATTCATAAAATTAAGTAATCAAAATAGAAGGAGTGTAACACCAAATT